AGATCATGTCCCTGATCACATCCGTGAAGAAGCGCCTGCGAGTGGAAACCTTCCCCAATTCCGACGCCAGGTCTTACGTCCCAGACAGTTATAAAGGCACGGTGGAAAAGCCTGCCCTGCGAAGGGAAACCAGCTTTGAGAAGATCCTTGCCAGGCATTCCCAGCATCACCTGTCAGTGTGCCAAGTGTTTGAGAGCACCTGCAGGGCTCATAAAACCACGCTGGGAGAAATCCAGGTGGGACCTTGTATCACAACCTTAAGGACAGAGACCAAAACCACAGACACTGTGTGTACTACTCAGGAAATAGTGCAGGATGGGAGAGGTGCTGCAAAAATCCTGAGCTTGCCAACAGCAGGAAGCAACTCAGAAAGACTTGGTGGCTGGAGAAATCAAGACATGCGTTCTAGTGTGATGAAAATTTCCTTGGAAGAAGAGACTGAGCCTTTAGGAATGGAAATAAACGATGAAAATGGTGGTTTCAGCACAGGGCAAAACAGGAGTCAGAGCACGACTTCAGAGAGCTCTTGGTGCAAGCTGTCAAAATCCAGTTACTCTTCCAGCTGGGAGGATCTAAACTGTAATAGCAGCAGAGAGTCCCCTAGGGAAGGGCAGCAGCAGGAGAAGGGCTCAGCAGAGGAGCGATGCTGCACCACGGAATCTGATGGAAACGGTCAAGCCACATCCTTGCTCTCGTTGCCTCCCAGAGCCTGGAATCCTGCTCCTCGGGAACCTCTCCATAGCTGTGAGGGATCTCCTCAGCCTTCCTTGGAGGGAGGTGCTCCTCGAGCTGGCAGGAGGGTGGAGAAGGCGTCTCTTTGTGGAGACGAACTGCGGGAGGGAAGACACTGTGGAAAGAGATCTCCACAAAAGAAAGCAAAGGACCCGAGTGATGCATTTCCTTCCCTCTCCACCTCTTACTGCATTCCTACCAGGCTGGAGGAGGAGGAGAAGTCCTCCTCCTGTGCACAGCTGGGCTGCAGGACCAAGGACAGTGGCAGGGAGGGAGGCGGCGGCCGCTTTGAGCGGGTCCACCCAGGAGAACCCACAGGAAGCACGGAGGATCCCTTGTGTGAGACACATCCCCCCCAAAATGGGGGCAATTCTGCGCTGTCAATGATCACTGAGCCCAAACCAGGCAGCAGCTCCTCTGTGCGTGACTGGATGAGGAAACCTGCCACGGTGGGGGACAGATGCCGCCAAGTGCCTGAGGTTGACACCCAAGCAGAAACGATTGATGACACAGAGTTTGATTTCCTCAGTGTTGGAGACTTAGTGAACAGTTATCCCACGGCATCTGCTCCAAAGCATCAAGCAGCTCCCAGTGTGCCAACAGCTTTGCCCTTGCAGGGCAAGATATCCGTAAGCAAGCACTTTGACTGTGCCACTACGGAAGGAGATGAGGAAAAGTCTCAGGACGTGGTGAGCAGCAGGAGACAATCCAGGTCACCTCTGAGTTCATGGATCAAATCAGCACAGACGCCCACGAGTTCCCCTGAGGTTCCTTTTCTGACCCCAAGGGGAAGTTTTGCCCTCACACCTGGGAGAACGAAGGAAGAAATCCTGGAGGCTCGGTTTCTGAGGGATGACGATTACAAGCAGCTTCTGGCAGGGGTGGAACATAATTGGATTGTCCAGAGACTGATGCCTACTGGGATTTTTAGGACCAAAGAACTTTGTAAAGCGTACTGTAAGTTCCCACACAGCAACAGGTGCCCCCTCAGGGAACAGGCTTGACTCGGGCCTTTTAACACGATATTTTAGTCAGCATTTATTAGGATTTAATTTTTTGTTGTCTTCCACCCCATTACTTGAGTCTGGTTGCCTGTTTAGATTCCAGAGCCAATAAAGATCCTGTGGTGTTTTCTTTTTGTAGCTGCTCTTCTTTTAAAATACTCCAAGAAATCCGGCCTGTGGACGGGCCAAGAGACCGCCGTGTTCATCGGGGACTACCTGAACGTGGCAAAGGAAGGCAAGCAGAGAAGTGCCTTCTGGATACACTTCCTGCACCAGGAAGAAATCCTGGGAAGGTATGGGCCAATCAGATTTCCAAAACAATATGTTTATCAATGCTGCTTCTGTGTAAAAATGAATAAAAACTGTCTGGTGAGATTTTCTGCAGCAAGAGTGTTTTATGGGTCTCCCAAATGTCTTGGGCATTTTGGCAGCCTTTCCCATCACTCCATGTAACCCTACTTTTTTTAATTTCTGGGAAGGAAAAGCTACTTCACTGTGGTCTTCTAACAGCTAATTGCAGAGTAAACTGTTATGATTAGCTAGAAGCATCATTATTAGAAGTAGCCTATAAATTATTATGGGTTGAGAATACTATATCAATACCTCTGAGTTGGCTCTCCCTTCAGAGTCAAGAACAGTTGAGTTTAAACTTTCCGGTGTTATGAAACCCCCATCCCAACCTGTGATTGGTAATTTTTCACCTGTATGAGACACAAAAGAAAAAAACCACCCAAATTTAATGACCATTTTAAATGTATAACCCACAGCAGGATTTGCTTCTGAACAGCCAAGCTCAACTTTGCACTGATGTTCTGTATCACAACATACAGAACTGACACTTCTCCAAACACTCCTCCCTCTGTTTAGGTATGTTGGGAAGGAGTATAAAGAAGAAAAAGGGCTCCTCCATCACTTCAGTGACGTGGAGCGACAAATGACCGCCCAGTACTACGTGACAGAGTTCAACAAGAGGCTGTATGAGCAAAAGGTCCCTACCCAAATCTTTTATATCCCATCTGCAGTACTCCTGGTAAGGACTGTTTTCTAAGCATTTCCAAGGAACTGGTGTGGGAAGGGTGCCTTGAGCCAATTTTGCTTTTAAACCATCAGCAGTGAGACTGTCTCGTTTCAGATACTGGAAGACAGAACTATAAAAGGGTGTGTGAGTGTGGAGCCCTACATCCTCGGGGAGTTTGTGAAGCTGTCCAACAACACCAAGGTGGTAAAGACTGAGTACAAAGCCACAGAGTACGGTCTGGCTTATGGCCACTTCTGCTATGAGTTCTCCAGGGGAACAGATGTTGTCGTCGACCTACAGGGTGTGTATTACAGTGAACCTCATCCCTTTCAGGCTCAACCTTTAGCCCCCCAGGTAGCTTTGGGATATTCATTTCCTTAAATATTCAGGAAGTGCCTCTTAGGGTTCAGCTTTTGCTGACATGGGTGGAAACTGGGAATCACTGAGGTGACGCTGACAGAGCTTGGGCCGCGCCAAGCAGAGAGTCCTGAGTACAACGACACAAAGCCTGTGATGTTTGATACCAAAATGTATTGTTTCTTCCACAGGCTGGGTGACAGGAAATGGGAAGGGCCTCATCTACCTCACAGACCCCCAGATTCATTCTCTTAATGGCAAAGATGTTTCCCGCTCCAACTTTGGGAAGAGAGGAATTTATTACTTCTTTAATGACCAGCACGTGGAGTGCAACGAGATCTGTCGCAGCCTGTCTTTGACAAGGCCCTCGCTGGAGCTGCTGGCATAGACTCTCACAGGTCAGTCACACCAAGAGCTGGACACTCTTTTAACCTACACATCTTTAGGAGCAGGGAGTAGCAAAAAGCTGCCTTCATTTCCCACTCTCCTCTTCCCCCTCCCCAAAACCCTGATGTTCCGCTGCTCCCCTCCCCCTGAGCGCAAAGGCCGGGGGAGATTTTCCCGATGAGAAAGGGAACAGAGCATCAAACTTCCACAAAAAAGATGGGTCCCCAACAGACTTGGCTTTAACAAAACCACCTCCTTTTGTTTCTGCAGCCAGCAGAGATTTTTTAGGCTTTTGTCCCAGTGTTTTAGCAGTGCTATTGTTTTGTAGGTGATGTTTGTGCTGAGTTGTTTGGAAGGATGCCCTATCCCTGCGCCAACCGATTAGAACTAGGTGTAAAGAGGGAGAAGCACGAGAAGGAAAAAAAAAAAATTAAATCTCTTTATTATGGTGCATAAACCTTCAGTCTTGGGGAGCTGCGCAGCTGCACGGGGAGAAAAATGCATTCAAAAATATAATGCCAGTGTGAATAATCCTTTCTCGGGCGCTGCTCGCAGACTGCTCCAGCTTTGTCAGGTGAACTTGAACCGGGGCCGTCAGATTTGTGGCCGTTCCCATTGCACACTGTCTGTCACCCCGGGGCATTCACCATCTTGCCTGTTGTTAAGAGCCGGCGAACAATCCATCATTGAGCCGGGGCAGGCGCTGGCTCACACAGCAGTGAAATCGGCATGTGACGGTACACTCGGCCCCAGTGTCTCGCAGATTAAAGTGATACATGAAAACTCACGTGTTACTGGGGAAGATTAAGCCCGTTATCTTGTTGCGCAGCCAATAAAGGCCGGCCTTGTCCGCAAGCAGTGGGGAAATGCCGGCTTTAACCAAGTGACAAACATAGCTCCGCGCTCCGGCCAGCGAGCGCCCGGCTCCGAGGGGCAAACAAAGCTAGTTAGCAAGATCCCGGGAATTAATGGGCGGCGGGGATGGCTGTGTTAAAGCGTCTCTGCAGAGGCTTTCCCTGCTCTATGGAGACAATTAAAACCGAAACAAAACCTCCCGGACAATCTCTGCAGAACAAAGTGTCCTAATGCGCTGCCGGCAGCCGGCCCCGCCGGGTCTACTCCAGCAGCACACGCAGCCTCGGGACCCCTGACGAGCCGTGCCTTTTCCAGCTTCTTCCTGGTGAAAGGGAGAAAAAGGAAATTCGTTTAGATGTGCTCCCGAATAAACCCATCTGCGTCAAATTTTCATACCTTGCTTTCTTCCTAATATTTGCTTTTAGCAGCTGATTTCTTGTGTTGGTTTTAGGAGACTTTTTGCCATCTCAGCCAAAGTTATGGCTATTCACAGGTGAAAGTCTTGAGGGTCAGCTTGTCCAGTTCCCTGTTAAAATATACGTGGAATCATATTCTACTTGTCTCACTCTTTACAGGCTTGGGCACGATTTCAGAGGTATCAGGCACTCTGTCTTCACCCGGGGCTTGGATACTGGAAATCATGGATTAATGTGCCCCAAACCCTCATTGCCTGAAGAACTTGGACACACGCGTGGCCCCAAACGCACAGAGCTTAAATTATTGTTTCATATTTCTGATATAAATATGGGAATATTGGGGGAAATAAATAGTTGACTCTGATGATGGAGAATTTAATATTTTGGCTGGAAGTTTCGTCTTAGAGCTACTGACCAAAAAAATTACTGCTTTGTTATTTTCTCTGGTTTCAGAATAAAGTAATTTGAACTAACCTGACACTTAGGGAATTAATTAGAAATTTAATTAATTTAATTAGAAATTTTAGTTAGAAATGGAATGGTTTGTATTAACTAACTTGCTATCGAGGTGTTTTTTGGGCTTGGTGAATTATAACGTTCTCCAGATTCCAACCTAAGTGCTTGGTATGACCATTGAGGGCCACTCTCTACAATATGAGTGGAACTGTGTCATGCTGGGACAGTGAAATATTAACTGTAGGGACATCAAGTTTGAGGAAATATGGAACATTTCCTCCTCTCAACTAAACTCACGGGCTTGAGTTTACACCCTGTGTAAGTGCTGCAGTAAGTCAGGCACAGAACCTGATTTATTATCCTGCTCTTAACAAGGTGGGCACACGCTTTCCTGTCCTTCAGGGGAAGGGATTTGCCTAAAGGTTTTTCCCACTTGCCTTTCTGCAGGTACCCATGTGAAAGGCAGAGAGTCTCGCTGGCTGTGTGCTCAGGCATGAAAATTTAGTGCGTTTGATACCCAGGGAACAACCAGAGGCTGCAAACCTCAGGTAGAATGATTTTCTCATTCCTTTACCAGTAACTAGTGACTCTATGGAGCACTTTGGGGGATTTCTCTTAGAAAAGACGCAGAGGAAAGGGAGCCCCTCAGTTATCCCAACAATACAGTGCTGAGCCAGGCTTGCCTCCCTGGGAGTCTCAGCATCCCAGGCCATTACGGCCGGCGGAGAGCGGGCGCGAGGTGACCCCTCCAGCTGTGAGGCAGCCCCTGCACGCGAGGCAGCACGTCCCTGCTGCCATAAACCCGGCATCAGCTGCCCCTGGAGCCCAGCTGCTGGATTTAGGCACCGCTCCTTCACCAGACACAGCTATTCAGGGGGGCTGAGGGCAAAGCCTCACGCCACCGACCGCAGAACCGCAGCCCGCGCTGCCCAATCTCTTCTGCTTGGAAAGACACGGCAGCACCAGCCTCCTCGGCATCTCCTTCCCACTAACCAGAGCGGGAATATATGTAGCAAAGCAAAAAAACACCAACTTGGTAACTGCTGCTGTCACCTGCTGCCCCGAGGGAAGTCCCTGCACCGGCACCCGGGTGCCCTCCCTGGCCCTGCAGGGAAACTGGCAGCAGCGTGCAGCTCTCACCCCTCTCCTGGGAGCGACACACGCCACCCTCCTTTTTTCCACTTGGATGAAATCATCTCCCCTGTCCCTTGGCAGAGTGGGAGCAGATGGGGCTGTTGGCCTCCGCAGCCTCCCGCTGCCCCAGCTCGTGTGAGTCGGTGATGCCTCCAGCCCCCCCCCAGCCTGCCCACTGTGCCCCTCCAAACAGAACTTAATCCCATTCTCTAATCCCAAACTTCTCTGCCAAGCTGTTTTTGAGGCAGAGCGTAGCTTTCATCCAAAGATAACAAGTTATTATTAATAATTTGCTAAGTGGTGGATGCTGCTCAGAGGACCAGAGCACCCGCAGCACCAAGGGGGAGTGTAGATCCCATAGAGGCAGGTCCAGCATCCCTCTTCCGCCCCGCATCCAGGGGGTGGCTGGGTGGCACAGCCAGCACCCAAGGGCGCAGGATGAGGGCAGGGTCCCCCACCCAGCAGGCAGCAGGTGCCTTTCCTCCCTCGGTAACAGCCGAGTTGAAGCCCAAACTGCCGTGCCGGCTACCGGGGCTGCCGTCCCCTCCGAGCAGGACATCACGTTAATAGAGGTTGATTTGCAAACGGCGTCGCCCCCCCCCCCCAGTGCCCCCCTTTGCCTGACTCCCGCTTTTCTGCTCAATGGCACAGATGCTGCTTTGTGCTGCCCAGGACCAGGCAGGCTATTAGCAGCAAATCCAGCGAGGGAAATTAATGAAGGCGACTACTAATAAAAGACAGCTCAGGACAGCCCGACCAACTTGCTCCGAGCGGTAATTAACTTTTTTTAAAACTCATGAAGGTAAATATGCTGTCAGCTTTGGGCCGGGCTCTCTGCTTTTTAATAAAAGGAGGAGGAGGGGAGGCAAGGGAGAGGGGGTGGCTGTGTGTCACAGCCGCCCCAGCACCATCCCTGTTCCCTCTCGGAATAGGGACTTCTGAGGATTTCTTTTCTCTCCGAGCAATTTCTAAAGGTTTTATTTTAAATCTGAGCACCATGAGAGTTCTACCTCTCCTTGATCTGGGTTCTGTACAAGAGGTCACGGGGATGAGCAGGATGCCAGTATTTTGCTGGACCTGCACAGCTGTTGCAGCTTCGTAGGGAAAAGGCAGGATATCCTAATGTCCTGATATCCTAATATCCTGATATCCTTACACTGTCAGAGCAAAAGAGCATCTTAGGCCATAACACGCAAGATTTAGCCCTGTAGTAAGTCATTAACCTACACCAGGTTGCAACAAAATTCCCACTGGGATTTCTGTTTCTACCAGAGGATTGACTGTATAATAGATAACTGAGATTTTTTTTGCCCGTGGGGAACGGGAATTGGGGCCGCACGGGCCAAATCCACACATAATCCGGGACAAGGGCGAAGCCCAACCTGAGGCACCTGAATAAGGCTTCAGGAAAACTGGGCTTAGGATCTGCCAGCCATGTGAGGGCTGTGTTGGGAACGGTCTTTAATGATGGCACTACGTGGAAAGATTGATGCCTGACATGAAAGCGAGCGCGGCAGCCCTTGGGGTGCGGCTGGGACTGCTTTGGCTCCTCAGCACTATTCTTATGCCAAGGAGGGGCTGTAAAACCCCCTCGGGGGCTTTCGTGCTGCCCCTCCAGCCCTGACAGTGCAGGGGAGCTTTTATGCCAAAATACAATACACAGAAGGATCATAAACACGTGTTCTGGGGGAAAGGGGCTGCCATGGAAACCAGTCCCAGGTTTGTTTTGTTATCCAAGGAGGTGAGTTTCTGTCTTGCATCTCCTGGGCCGCTTCCAGGTTGGCTGCAATTGGCTCTGGGGACCGGCCATCACCTCCAAAAACCAGTCTTCTGAGAGAAAAGAGGGAAATACGAGAAAAAAGAAGGAAAGAGAGGAATAAACTCAAGCTAAGAGGGAAGAAAGAGGGAAATAAATGCTTTTGGCCACTGGGATGAGGGTGACTGGCTTAGGTGGCAAATCCAACCTCTCTGGCTCGGCCTTTGCCAACACAGCCCTGTCTCCCCCTCCCTGCCTTGCCCCCCTTGGGCCTGTCTCTTCCAAGGGCATCTCCAGCTGAGCCCAGCCTTCCACAGGGAGCAGGGAAGGTTTGGCTGGCATGACTCCCACCCCAAACCCCTCTCCAAAGCCCCCCTCCGCCCTCCGACGTGACGTGTGCTTTTTCCCACGGTGGTTCCCATCACCACAGCCCCAGCAGGACGGGGATGCTCCTGTCTATACCTGGGATGGAGGAAGATCCCTCCAGGATGACGCACCCGGCAAGAAGCAGCATCCCTCCCCGAGGACAGCTGGAGGGAGCATCCCAGCGCTGAGCCAGCCAGGATGTCCCTCCCACTCCTGCCCGAGAGAGAAGTGCATCCCATCCATCCTGGCCTTTTGAAGAGCCAAAGGCACCTACTCCAATGCCTCTTAAAAGCAGGAGAGAAACTGGGAAGGACAATGAGACCCGACCAGAAAAGACAGAGAGGGCGAGCGAGAGAGGCTCTCGGCTTCTTTTTGGCATTCCTGGAGTTTAATCATTAAAAGGGGTCGTTAAAAGAAGAGTGAGAGTGAAAAACCCGCTCCCGACGGGCTGCCCCACACACTGCCAGCGCCGTCAAAGGCTCCCTCTTGTTTTGTTCCTCCTGGCCCGTGGCAGATTTGGGGGGACACAGCTTCATCTTGCTGGCCACATCAAAGCGGTGATTATGCAAATGCTCCCACTTTTTTTTTTCCTTTTTTTTTTTTTTAGGGAATTATTTATCACACAATAACCCCCCTGCCAGGGGGGGAAACAATAGATCAGGCTAGATAGCGCTGCTCGCCCGAGGCTGCGGGGCTGGGGGACCCCTGCGTGGTTTATTGGCCTAACCTAATTTCACTAATTCTCTTTTCACACATTTTGGGCTTTTTTTTCTCTTCCCCCCCCCCCCTTCCCTCGCTCCGAGGGCCGGGTTTTGATCCGGAGGGCACCGGGCGGGATTCACGTGCTGAGCATTTTATTTAATTAATACATTCAGGCGCCTCTGCTGGTTTTTAATGATTTCCAGGTGTTTGTACCCAGAAGTCACAAAGTGCTCCCGGGCGCACGGGCAGGATGATTGAAGGGCCTGGGCGGCCTCCAGCATCCCCCTCCATGGTGACATCCCTGACCGTGTGCTGTGCACACTGAACCGAACCCCCTGGAATCGCAAGTGCCTTGGGATTCATCCGTCCCTCAGAGAGGCAGAGAAAGGGAATTCTTCCTCTTTTGTAGCCCAATCATTTTTTCCTCAGTAACATTTATTTCCTGTGGCCTTCTCGGTGAAATCCTTGGGCCTGAAGAAGCATGATAACTGTTTATCTATCCATCCATCCATCCATCCATCCAACCATCCATCCATCCCACGCTTGCTGTCAGCATCTTCTGTACCAAGAAGCAAAGATAAATGATCAGTAAACTTCCACTGAACTTATATATATATATATGTATATATGTATACATATATAATGGGGTTTTTTGCAGTTTCCTGGAGCAGCTGTTGCCTGTGGACCTGCTGTAAGTGGCATCAGCTCCCACCAGCCCCTGGTTTCACCAGAGACAAGGACAGGCCCAATCCCGTATTTCCCGGTCGCTGTCACGTAAAGCAGAAAAAGCAGCAGCCCCAAAGGTACGAAAATTAGAGCTTTTTATTTATATTTTATCACAAGGACGGTCCCTTTGCTCTTCAGCTGTAAATACATACTAGAATAAACTCTGTAAATTATACAAAAAATACATATTTTCCATGAAATCTGTCTTTATAATAAATAAATGTGAACACGTGTGTGGCTGATCGCTGTAATGTTCCGTGTCTGTTGAGGTTTTCAGTCTGTTGATTTATTTTTAATCTCCTGAAAGAAGGGGGGAGTTCCTCGTCCCCTAAAGGTCGAAATAAATAATGTATGAGGAGATCCTTCCCCATTCCCCCCCTCCTGATTTTTTTTTCCCTTTTGATAGAGAGTTCAGCCTAAATTTCCACGCTTGCATTCAGCCCTCACAAAGCCTACAAATTATACAATGACTTCTAACCTGGACCCCTAACAAAACAATTTACTTTTTTTTTTTTTCTCGCTTTCCAACCCCCCCCTCCCGCCTATAAATCATAAGGGACAGATGGCAAAGGGGGGAGCTGGGAAAAGGAGGGGGGGGACACACAAAAGCCCCGCGGTGACAGATCTGGGAAAACTGGACAAAGTGCACATCGGAGAGAGAGAGAGAGAGAGAGAGAGAAAGAGAGAGAGAGACGGAAAGTTTGGTTTGGCAGGTGCCGTTCCCACAGCCCGCCCTGCCCTGGGAATGGGGCAGATGCCGCCGCCGCAGCCGCCCCGGGGGGAGCCCCGGGAGCGCCGGGGCGGGCTAGAGGCAGCGGCGGGGCAGCGGCGGCGCCGGGGCGAAGCGGCCCGGCCAGTGCTCGGGGTCCGAGGCGGAGCCGGCGGGGCTGGCGGGCGATAAAGTGCAGGCGTACGGGGAGGCGGAGGGCGCGGGGCTGGCGGCGCCGCCGCTCCAGGAGGAGGCGGGCGACGGGCTGCCCTCGGCGGGGACCCCCGCGCCCGCCGCCCCGGCGTCGGGGCCGAGCCGCGCCGCCCCGGCCAGCCGCAGGGTCTCGGTGAGCGCCCAGATGTAGTTGTGGGCGAAGCGCAGCGTCTCGATCTTGGTGAGCTTGGCGTCCTCGGGGAAGGTGGGCAGCACGTCGCGCAGGGCGTCCAGCGCCGCGTTCAGGTTGTGCATCCGGTTGCGCTCCCGGTTGTTGGCCTTGAGCCGCCGGCTCCGCTTGATGCGCTGCGCCGTCTCCGCCGTGCGCGCCGCCCGCGGGGCGCCCCGGGACCGCCCCGGCCGCCGCTTCCCCTCCGCCCGCCGCAGCCCGCGGCCGCCCGCCGCCTCCACGGGGCGCGCCGGCGGGGCGGTGCGCGGCTCCTCCTCCTCCTCCTCTTCCTCCTCCTCCTCCTCCTCCTCGGCGCTGGACGGCAGCGAGGGCGAGGGGGCGGGCGAGCCCAGCCCCAGCAGCAGCAGCTCGTCCTCGGCGGCCGGCGCCAGGACCTCCGCCTTCACCAGCATCCTTGCGCCGGGAAGCACCGGGGAAGAGCGCCGGGCAGCAGCACCGGCGGCTTGACGGTTCGCCGGTCTGACGGAGCGGGGCGGGGGTCGCGGGGGCCCAAAGCGCGGGGGATCGTGGAAGGGAGGGAGGGGGGGGGGCGGGGTGGGGGGGGCGCGTCGCTGGCACGCGCCCCGGGGCGCGGCGGGCGGGTCCGGGCGGGCGGGCGGCGGCGGGAGCGGCGCCCGGGGCCCGTCGGGGCTGCGTGTCTGGCACACGACCCTCCTTAACACCCCTTATATACCCCGCGGGGAACAATCAAACCTACCCCCGGGGTCCCCGTCCCCCCCCCCCCTCCCTCCACCTCGCCCCGCCCGCGACTCTTGTCGGGGGCGCCGCCGCCGCCGCCACCGCCGCCCCCCCGCCCGTTCTCCCCCCCGTGTCCCCCCCTCCCGTCGGGGCCCCATTGGCGCCTCGCGCTCGGCTGGAGCGTGCCGCTAATTTATTAATGAATGGGGGGGACGGCGCGGGGGAGCGGGGGGGGGGGGGCGCGAGGCGCAGCCGGCCAATCCCCGCGCCCCGCGCGCCACGCGCGCGCCCGGGGCCCCGCTCCCTTTTGCGGCCGCTTTTCGCGTTCTGCGGAGCCGGCGCCCGGCGCCCGGGCAAAGGGATGCGAGGGATGCGAGGGATGGGGGAGCTCCCCTTGGCCTCCATGTTCGTTCCCCGGGGAGATTTTATCGTCTTGGGGAGACGCCGGTGCTGTGGTAAAGGTGCACAGTTCGTACGCGGCTTGCTGGAGGGATGGATGGTATGGGGGTCCCCCGGGATGCAGCTGCTCGGTGCTGTCAAATAACAGCGGTTTAGGTTGGAAGGGACCTGGAAAGATCATCTCATTCCAGCCCTCTGCCATGGGCAGGGACACCTTCCACTATCCCAGGTTGCTCCAATCCCCGTCCAACTTAGCTTTGGACACTTCCAGGGATGGGGCAGCCACAGCTTCTCTGGGCAACCTGTGCCAGGGCCTCACCACCCTCACAGGGAAGAATTTCTTCCTAATATCCCATCTAACCCTGCCTTCTGTCAGTGTGAAGCTGTTCCCCCTTGTCACTCCGTGCCCTTGTCAAAGAAATGATGGTGAGGACATACAAAACAAAAACCCCAGCACACTGTCTTCCTGTGTGGAAACACCAGATCTGAGGCACTTTGGGGGAGTTGAGCTTTGGAACAGGATTTTATTTGCAGCTGGTAGAGAAGCCTAAAACAGGTGAGAGCGCCAAAATCGCCACAAACATCTCGCTGAGCACACCAGGAACTCGCAAGCAAATGAGCCCCTCGCTCTCGCTGCCCACTGAGTTGGTGGCCCCTGTGTCACTCCCTGCAGGAACGATGGCAGCCAGGCGGCTGCCTCAATTAGAGCATCTCCGTGACTCTGTGAGACATTTTAATGCTCCCCTTGCCTCCTTGTGAAAAGCAGGAGACGCACAGGTCCCCTCGGCATCCCAGGAGAGTGGCACAAAAGAACTTTATTTCTTTTTCAGCAGCTTAAGGCTCAAAGCAGAGTCACCTGTGACGGGGCCAGCCCGCCCCTCTGTCACCACCCTGTTTTCTGAGATTTCTGTCCTTTCATTGCCGATGGAAAGCAACGGAGAGGTGAGGCCGAGGCTGTGCTGGGGGTGCATAACCCACTGTGGTGCCTTTCTGGGGTTCAGCCCAATTCTTGCTGCCAGCCCCAGCGATGCAGCAGTTTTCTCCTCAGGACTGAGCACAGGGTGACCGAGTCCTCACAACCCTGCAGAGGCGCTTGTGTGGTCTGTGGGCAGAGCGAGGGCCGAGCTGCTCGGAGGAGAGCGGTGGGGAGAGGGGGCAGCGGGGGGAGAGGGAGTGGGATCAGGAGCGGGAATGCCGCTGCCACTGCTGCCCACTGCCTGAACTGTCCTCCAAGGGTCAAACTGTTCAACTTCAGCCCCTTTGCCAGACTCAATCCTACTTTAGGGGAACAAAAGCCCAAAGTAGGCGACGATCAAGAAATGGGAGCACAATGATTTAAGCTTATCACACAGCCCAGAAATAAAGGACGCTGAGCTCGTGTGGGGGAGAGGGGAGACCTTCAGAAAGGCTTTGTTTGCTGTAAGAAGATTGAACTCTGAGGTGACCCGATAGCCCTAAAAGTTTAGGGTCTGTGTTGCTGAGAGACCTTTGGGCACAGCCCATCCACACGTGGACCTCACAAGTTGAGAGCCGGCGTTAATGGCCGGCCTGCCCCAGGTGAATGGGGGCGCGACATCCCGGAGAAAGGGGGGACAAAGCTGCAGGGACAGGGTGGCCTGACCCCTCCCTACTCCGGCTCCTTCACACCCACCCGGCCTGAGGCATCCTAAGGGTTTAGGGAACCAGGGCTGCCCACACCAGGCTACCCAGCCCTGCAGCACCCGCAAACCCTGTGAGTGAGATGGTTCTGCTCTTAAATGGGGGGGACGGAATATATCCAAATTCAGCAGGGTATCAGGATGCTCTAGGGAGGGGAGAAATGGAAAGTGCTGCAGCGTGTGTCCCCTATGCCCTGATCCAGGTCCTTCCCAAACCCTCTGTGCGCTCAGCGAAAAGTGCTGCAGAGAGGGACAGGATGAGGACTGACCCCCCAGATCCCAAGCTGCGCTGACACTTTCGGGGTTTTGGGATCAAGGAGAGGAGGGATTCCCCCATAAGCGCTGCCCCGGCATCCTTCCCTGGGTCCCCCCACCCTGAGCAGACGAGCCCCTCGTTGGGGGCCGATTGTTCCCGGCAGATTTGCATGGCAGGTGCAGGCCTGCGAAGCGATTTTGCCGTCCTGGGGCACCCCCCCCGCCTCCCCAAGAGGGTTTGCCTCCCCCCCCTTGTGAAAAAAGGCCGCCGGTGCCTTCCTTTCCCATGAAGAAGAGAAGAAGCTTGAGGATCGCGTGAACACGCTTCAGTTTTCTTATTCTTTTCTATAGATGTGGGGAAAAGAACAGCCGATTGTGTGAAAAACCCAGTGCCTGCAAAAAGGGACATTGGCCATCCAGGCGAAGGTGCGCAAGGGAGAGCACTAATCGCTGAACCAGGAGACAAATACGATTACCAGCTCCGAGCCTTGAGTCAGAAAGTCTCATAGACTTTAAGATGTTAATCCCCAACATAATCCTTCCTTTGGCGTGTAGGAATAGTGCAGCCACAAGAGTTGTTTTGTTATTTATATTGGCGTTTAATAAAACTCAGCCAGTGGTGAATGGGCTGCCCACTCTCCAATGGTAATTAATTCCCTATTTCAGTGACCCAATTGTGCTGGGATAGAGCAGTGGGACAGTCCCACTGCCCCAACCCGCCTTTGTGCAGCTACACGGCTCTCGTGCTTCAACAGCTATGGAAACTCATTCTTTTGATGTCATTCAATGAGTTTTCCTTGGGCATCTTCTAAACTTCAAGGACCCTTTTCTTTCTCGAACGCCTGAAAAGCAGGACTAGCTTGACCACCTCTGTAGAATTTAATGATTTGGTGAAAGGGCCTTTTTTTGGGGGATTTGTGTAAGGAAAGAGAGAAAGAAAATTTGGCAGGCTGGCTATCAAACAGGGGGGCTATCCAAACTCGGGTGTGCCGAACTCATTCAGCTCCTAATTTATACGCGTCTTAAAAGCCACTTTTCCTTACTCGAAATACTTGGGGGCTTCTCTTAGTCGAGGCATTTCTAGAAGGGATTTGCTAGTGAGCAATAACTCTGTTTTACAGACGTGAGTAAAGACACGTGAGCAAATGGTGTTTTAAGAAGGCATTTCCATCCAGAAAAGGGAAAAACACCTGGATGCTTTTGCCCAGAAAAGGGGAAAAATACCAGGTACCTGCAATGGGTTATTGATATAAAGTGTGTCTGTGGGTTTATGCTTTTTGGCTGTATGGTGAGGTGGCGCAAGGAGTGTGTGAAGTGAACACGTGAAGAACATGGAGTTACCCTGCAGAGCCACCCTGGTCCGGGCAGCCTCTTCTATGTCTTTATACACACTTCCAAAAAAAAAAAAAAAAAAAAAAAAAAAAAACCCCTTCGCAAGTCACAAACAATTCAGGACTCAACTAAGAAAACACAGAGTGAACCATATGGCCGGGGTGGCTCGAGTTGGCTGCATTTTCCCTCAAACAAAGAAGGGATTGAGAGTTGAAGGAAAGGAGAAAAAAACCCAACTTTCCGGCTGATGAAGCTGTTGTCTGGAGGCAATGATCCCAAATCTCAAGGCTTTATTCCAGGCTCCGACTGAGACGTGATATGTCATATGATTAGCATCTTTCATATTTACAAGAGTAGTGCGGGCTGCCAGTCTTTAGAGAAAGGCGAGAGAAAGAAGGGGCATATGCTGAAATGGATTTAGCATTTGAAAGAGAGAAAAGAGAGCGGATAAATACACTTAAACGAGGATTTAGTTTTACTCCCGTTGAGTTCTAATGGCTTGTTGATTGAGATTTTAGGGAGCTGGGACAGAGGTGTCAGGAGTAATTTAAAGGCGCTATTCAACCCTGCCCCGCGCGGAAGGAGCCGCCGCTCCCCCTGAGGGAGGAGCGGTGCTGCGGCTGCAGTGGCGGGCTGGCTCCAAGCGGGGCGGATCACCGGCACCGCCGCCGCTCCCTCCGCCGGGCGGGCGGGTGGCACCACCTGGCGGCGGCGGGAAAGCGAAGGGGGCAAAGTTATCTGGGATCGGGAAAACGGGGGGGAAAAATAGGGAATTCTCGGTGTGTTTGGCACCTGGCAGCCTGGACAGCACCTGCTGCTACAGGAGGGTGCTCACTGCCCCCGTCCAAGCTGGCTTTGGGCACTGCCAGGGGTGGGGCAGCCACAGCTTCTCTGGGCAACCTGTGCCAAGACTTCACCGCCCTCACAGGGAAGGATTTCTTCCCAATATCCCATGTAAACCTTCCCTCTGTCATTTGAAGCCATTCTCCTCTGTCCTGGCAATTCATGCCCTTGTGCAAGTCTCTTTCCAGCTCTCCAGAGCTTGGAAAGGAGGCCTTTTAATTGTTTTAACCAAGCTGCCTCCTGGAAGTGACGTATCTGTAAATACACAAGATCACAGAATTGTTCTAAAATATAATTCCGTTATTCTTCAGACTAAATAACATAGCACTAATACAATTAGATACTTTGTGAGCATAAAAGGATTTCACTTCTCAGGCAGCTAAAGTCACTTTATTTTCGGTTATCAAGCAAATAAAGTCACTTTATTCAGTTTTAGTCATGTAAACACAGGGTCAAACAGAAGTATCAGTACATGAGGTACAAACAAACATGTACCACAATAAATAAATATTAAATTAGCCATTTTATAGACAAACAATATTAATAAAATAGGCACACATTTTATTTTTCCTTCTTCTTACTCTGCTCCTCTTCCTTCCGTTCCTCCCAGTAGCACTTCAGAATGTCGTTTAGCTGCTGCTCGCACTGGCTTGCATTTTGTAATCCATTTTCCCATCCTACAACCAGCAATAAACAGGATAATTACATCTCTCTTTACAGCATCCACCATGGAACCAGCCCCTGGCAATGCTGACATCGATTTGCCCCAGAGTATCGACTGGCTGTGATATTTCTGCTTGGAAAATGGTTCTTCAGAGTTCAGCCACTAACAAGATGCTTTCTTTGATGTCAGCCAAGTAGGTAAAGTCCCATTACTGGATAAGAAAATACTCTTTGAGTATAAAAACAGCTTGCAGGTAAAGTTGCAAATGTGCAATGTGCATTTTCCTGTGATATATTAGATTTTATATGCAATAAATATTAAAAATTACATTCTATATGCAATAAATGTACTGGTTTATACAGTGTGCATACCATATACTTTATATATTATTATGTAGTACATATACACACACTATAAAGTGTATTATGCATAGTTTAATTAAAGAAGCTGAGCTGCACAGTTTCAGAAACCCTGGAGAAGAAAATCTTACCTTTGCAGTGGTGAATTACTCTTCCCCACAGCTTGTTCCTGCTTAAACAGGCCAGGTTTCCCACAATCAGCAAATGCCTCTTTGCCCTTGTTAGTGCAACATTCATCCTCTTCTCCGAGTCTATGAACCCAAACTGTCTGGTCCTGACACAGGACAAGACAATGATTTCCTTCTCAGCACCTTGGAAAGCATCTACAGTGGACACCTGGACAGGTTTCACTTCAAAAGCTTCAGAGTGAACCCCACTGAGCAAACTCTGAATCTGTGGGCAAAAGAAACAGGGAAGGGGGTGAGTTTGGCTGCTCAGAGTCAAGCACTTGCCATGAGAAAACACCCAACAAATCTGAGCCTGCACAAGATGTGAACTAGGAAACTAGAGAGTGCAATGTGGAGGGAAAATTGGAAATATATTTTTTAATAATTCTTTGAATTAAAATAGCTTTATTAATTTTAGAGGCAAAAATAGGTATTTTTTTAATGCAAAAGAGCAGTTATGGCAAACTACCCGTTTCTCACTTCTAGTTGACTCTTGCTAGTTGAAATGAAACCTGTGCTTAAAACAAAAAATATATTTAAGGAAGCACTTTACTGATGGTCCACTACACCTTATACATCTGTGATTTATAAAGAGTAATCACACCAATAGCAGCTCCTTCTATTCCACTGGCAATCAGAGACTGGATGAGCTTGACTGCAAAGTGAGCCTCTGCCATGTTGGAAAAGCTGTTGTCTCTTTCGATCTGGAAAAGAGGGAAGAATATTTCCAAATTAGCTCTCACAAGCAGAATGCAAAAAGGGATGGAATGGAATGGAGGAAAAACTAAAATACTGACTTTATTTATATAAGAAATATGTGTAAGAAACTCACCTGCTCCAGGCCATTTACATTGTAAAAGCAGAGTGTTGGAAGCCAGTCCAGTAAAGGAGTTCTGTCCTCCTGGGAAATCCCATCCCTGAGGTTCCCTCCGTAGAACAGCTCGTTGGCGATGGCACTGAGGGCAGGGTGACAGCGGTACTGTGTCCGGAGGAGTATGGCTTTATGTCCCTAAAAAATGAGGATAAAGGGTGACTAGGAAGTGTTCAAGGCCAGGTTGGGTAGTGGGTGGTGGTAGGTGTGTCCCTGCCCATGTCAGGGAGTTGAATTAGGAGACCTTCAAGGTCCCCCCAACCCAAACTGTTCAATGATTCCACGATAATTTGCAAGGCTGAAACTCTGATCCTCGACATCTAAACCAGAGTTTTCCTGGTGACTTCAGGGGACCTGCAATTCCACCCTCCACCTTTTCCAGAGGTGTGGTTGGCAGGACCTACCATTAAGCAGAGCCGGTCAAATAGAGTCTGCTCCAATCCCTGCTCATGGACACTCTCAGACCCTTGAATAGTTGGTGGTAATTGCTTAGGGTCTCCAACAAGGACAAGCTTTTCACACTGAAACCTGAATGGGAATGTGAAAAACCATGAAAAAAAGTTCTAAAAATGAGGCTAAACTGTTCATAAGTGAAGTGTGTGTGCTGTGTTTACACATCCCATTGCTTTCCATCCACCTCCCTGCTCCATCTTCCCACAGTTTAATAACACCTAAGGCCAGGCCTCCATTTAAAATTTCTCTTCTTGCTCTCTAAGGTGAGACCTTGGGGTTCATGTGCTTAAAAAGATGTGGGGTTTGGCACTGCCAGGAGGTTGTGTCCCTGCTAAGCAAGTTATTCCCCTGCTGAAGCACCAAAGGAAGGCTGTACCTGGCGATGGGAAGGAGGGAAGCAGGTTCAGTCATCTGACTGCACTCATCCAGCATCACCACGGGGAACCTGAGAGCGTTCAGGCAGGGGAAGGGGCAGGCAGCACAGGTCACTCCAACCACTTTTACCTTTTAGTAGTGGGGGGAAAATGGGGAGACAAAAAGTTAGGATCATTTCATAGTTCATCTCTGTGCAGTACATGACTATAGCAGTACAATTGCTACAGGCTACCTCGTGCCTCTGGTTCTCAACAAACTGCTCAGATCTGCTTTGTTACAATTGCTTTACAACAAGCTGTGACTTTCCGAGTCTGGGACTGAGGAGAAATGACTGGAAAGACCAGAAATTGAGGATATTTTTCTACAGGGAGTAGTGTAATCTTTAAAGGTAATACTTTGATGAAAAGTTGCTTAAAATATATTTGAAGTCTCCTTGGCGGTTGATACACTGCTCCAGGATAGATTTAGCTCAGTCTTTATCTTTTAACCTTTATGACTATATAAATTTTAGTTTCAAGGTGACAGTGCAGACGAGCTGTAGTGAGAAATTTTTCTCTGCCCACCTTGAAAACTAAATTGGCAATATTAAATCAGATTGCAGTCGAGTTCAAAAAGGGTTTCTGTCTTACATCATTGAAAAAGAACTGCAAGTTCAACTCAAGAGAAACCCTACACAGGTAAGACACTAAGCTATACCTGTGGAATCAAGCCTAACACTCACTTTATTTTTCAAAATTAGGAGCCTGGCAGGTGTGAGAGGGAATTCCCAGTTTCCATACGGTGGGTTTTGTGGATAGGACACAAGGAATCCCCACTTTCCCATCCCA